AGAAATGCGCAGTAGCCGGAGGGAAAGTGGGTCACGGAAGGATTTTTTTGTTTGGTGTTGGTTGGAGGACATGATCCAGGAGGGAGATAACCTTGCTGGGGCTGGACAAGGAGGCCTGCTGGACGGTGTCCCGGCGCAGCCGAGACGCAGTGGGTGCGGGGTGGAGGGCAGGGCCGCGCATCTCGGATACGGTAGCCGAGGCAGAGCCGGGCCGGGACTGAGAGTGAGGGTCTTGGCCCAGCACCCCGGCTCTTAGCTCCCCACGCCACGCTCTGTCCCCTTGCCGTGCTGCCCACGACGGGCTCTCCCTGGGGCTGAGCTGTGACTGGGCAGACCTGCCCTGCCCTGAGCAGCGGGGTGAAGGGGCAGATGGTGCCCGCGCGGAGGTGTCTCCTGCGAGGGACAGGAATGTAGGTGTCGCAGCGGCGGTGGGAGGGGCGGTGGGTCCCGTGGCGCCAGTGCTATGACCCTGCACGGTACAGCAGGTGCCCCCACGGGATGGTGGCTCCGAGGCCTGGGCCCAGGGCCAAGTGGCACGGCAGCTGCTCCACTCCCTGGATCCCAAAGGCATTCTCTCCTGCTCCCACCCCAGCTCCGGAAGGTAACGGGATCGTTGCTCTGTGTTAAAGACACTGTCTGCTGATGCCCTGCTTGCATATCTGCATGGGCTGGGGTCAGGTTTGAAATCTGCAGACTTGCTTTCTCGCCGGCCGCTGGTTGTTTCCAGAACATTCCATCACCCTGGCCTACTTTCATGCTGGTCCCACTTGTACCCCTGAGACAGCACCTCTAGACTGTACCTCCATCCCCACCCCCAGGGGAGCCTGACAGTCCGGAGCAGGCTTCTGAGGGGCTGCCTTCAATGACATTTAAATGGGGGAAGGGGTTTTCTCTTCACTTTCTCTGTCACATTTATGGTGTTCTTTCCCTTTACAGGACGTTTCCTCTAAGCTTGGCTTCAACTTCAACGGATAGCTTCCGATCCTATTTAAACTTTTAAAAAAGGGACTCAAACTCGACACACAAATGAGGAACGTAGCTGAAAATGAGAGATGTGAAGAGAAACTTTTTTTGAGTCAGTGCAAATATTTTCGGAATTTAATTTTCCTGAGAAAAAGACGATTTGCAGACAGAAAGTCTGCATCCTGTGTTTGAGCACCAGTGGCCTCTGGTGTCTTTATTTGTAAACATAACATGGTGATATATGACTCCACAAACCACGCTTCCCTCCCAGGAAAATTAGAACAATTATAACAACCCTCTCCCTCTTCCTCCCTCTCTTTTCTTCTCCTTTATCTTCTTGGATGATTGTGGACAAATAAGACAACACCTCCTAGAAAACAGAGCTGTCAGACAAGGACAGTGTATAAAGCAAGATGCTTCCACGTCACTACGAAGCGTATTTCAGCAGAAGCCTCTGACAGTGATGCAGACACGTGCACATGCCGTCCTCTGTGAGAAAGCAGAGCAACGTGGAGAGTGAGCATGAAAAGGGAACAGGAAGGACGATGTCAGTGTGTATGCTCAGCCTCCGGGCACGCTGTCACATGTCATAGATGTTCACGTGGTAACAGAGATGTAAATCTTCTTTCTGAGCCATTCGAGCCAACCTGAGGATGGTACCCCCGTGGCTGAGGGGCCCCTCTCCATTCATAACCACTGCTTCTCTGCTTGCCCTGAGAAGTTGAGAACAGCCCCTTTGACCATGTGACAGAAGGAAACCCCAGACAACTCTCCAGCCCCCAGCCTTCTGGTCTTGCAGCTGAGGCCCCAACATCATGGAGCAGAGGCCAAACATCCCCACTAGGTCCAAATTCCTTCCCTGATCCACAGAATAATAAAGGACTGCTTTACGCCACTAAGTTTTGGGGGTAATTTGTTACACAGCTGTTTTAAGTCTGTTCAGGCTGGTATAACATTAACTGGCTGCCTTATAAACACATTTATTTCTACATTTCTGGAGGCTGGGAAGTCCAAGGTCAAGGCACTGGCAGAGTCAGTGTGTGGTGAGAGCTTCCTGGGACACAGACAGCACCTTCTCACTGGGTCCTCACATGGTGGAAGGGGTGGGGAGCTCTGGGGTCTCTTTGATGAGGGCACCGATCTCGGCATGAGGGCTCCACCCTCATGACCTTATCACCCCAGAGGCCCCACCTCCTGATACCATCACGTTGGGGATTAGGTTTCAACATATGAATGTGAGGGGACAAGAATATTCAGACCATAGAAGAAGCCATCATAACCAGAAATGCAGGCTCACGTGTATGTGTGTGACTGGAGGCAATTTCTGAATATCTGAAGAGAGGAATTGGAGCTGCCATTCATTTATTGTTTTCCCATATTTTCTAATGTTTGTACAGTAAGTTAGTATATTGTTCAAACTATGAAAATAAAACTTAAAACGATACGGGGTAAGCTGGGACGAAGTGAGAGAGTGGCATGGACACATATACACTACCACATGTAAAGTAGATAGCTAGTGGGAAGCAGCCACATAGCACAGGGAGATCACCTCCGTGCTTTGTGTCCACCTAGAGGGGTGGGATAGGGAGGACATATGGGGATATATGTATATGTACAGCTGATTCACTTTGTTGTAAAGCATAAACTAACACACCATTGTAAAGCAATTATACTCCAATAAAGATGTTAAAAAAACAAACAAACAAAACCAATATGGATGAATCCCTCAGATGGAAGGAAACAGGACCACAGCGAGTGTTCAAGTGTACTGTGCCGGGTCAGCCGGGGGCCGGGGTGGGTCGGTGGGAGGGTAGAAAGGGCTCCGGTGGAGGGGAGCTGCTGCTCCCACACGGGTGGCTTCGGCACCTGTGTTTCTGGGTGGGCAGGGCAGTGGTCAGCCTGCAGTGGACGGGATTGTGTGCTAGGATGCCATGGGAGGGGCCCCTCCCAGGCCAGTCATGCATTCCTGGCTAAACTTTTCCTCCCCCAAATCTAGTTCATCAAGGGGCCTCACCTCAAACGCTGCATCTAAGAACAGTTTTAAAAGATTCATCTACACACCCACATTCTGAGTTTTAGGAATGCAAAATGGCCAGGTGATAAGACACACAGACTTCAACACAAAGACAGTGGGTTCAGCACATCTCTGCTGTGGAATAACCACTCGAGGCCAGGGCCTGCCCTGCAGCGTCTGCAGAAGGAAGTGGGCAGGGGGATCCTTGCCCTTTTTCTAGGGAAGATGTTGCATACCATTTCTTTCCCTTCCCCCCAGAGCATCCTTCTATGTTCAGGGTTTGTTCCAAAATCACTGCTGCTTCAAAGTTTGTTCTTCCTTTTTTTATGGTCCATACCTCAGTAGAAAAAGGGAAGTTAAGCCTTTCTTTTCTCCCCTTTTTTTTTTACCCTGCATTATTTATTTGCCATGTCTTGACTCTCCAGGGAACCTGAACCAATCCATGTGGGCTTTGTTCTTGATCTAAACACCTGGTTTGAAACGTGGAGTCCCGGAGGGTCCTCTTACTGTTGGTTCCACTGAGGCTCCCAAGGTAGACTTCAGGGACTGACGCTGGGGTTCGCGGGAGGCAGTGAGGGCTCAAGGGGGCACCTTCCAGCGGGGCAGCTGCCCCGACTGCTGTTCATGAAGGACCAGTGGGGGCAGCAGGGAGAGGCCAAGCAAGGGTCATGGCTCCTCAACACGGAGGGCAAGAGCTGGGACTGTCAGGGGCTGGCCTGCAGCAGATGAGATCTTGCCTCGGGAGGGGCAGTGTCAGGACCAGCCTGGGGGCAGGAACACAGCTGCTGCTGAGCCACGAGAGGCCAGCTCGGGGGCTGGGGGCCAGATCCAAGCAGGCCTGGATCTGGGGTGGCCGTGCTACTCCTTCGGATGGAAACTGGAAAACCAGAGTGGACCAGACAGGGTTGGCCTGCCGGGGGAGGGCCAGGGGAGGGCAGAGAGGGGAGAAGCGTTTCAGGGACAGCTGGAGGACCAGCTGATGGGGGACGGCCCACCGGTGGCTACCTGCTCAGAACTGGAATTCCAGGACCCTTGTCCCCCATAGAAGTCCAGTGGCTCCGACAGGGGAGCTCCCAGGGCATCCCGAGAGCCCACCAACAGTCTAAGGAAGCAGTCAGGGGTCTCTCAGGACAGACTGGGTGAGAACCCCAGGATCCAGGCTGCTCTTTGGGAACGAACAGCCTGCTGGAGGGGCGTTTCCCTGGCACGGAGAGACCGCTGGACCCTCGTGGGGCCTCGAGGCTGAGGAGCAGGGAGGACAGGAAGAGGCACAGGAAGAGGCAGGCTTGCGCAGGGCTGGGTGTCTCCGAGAAAAGACTGCCTAGATGCGCTGGGGCCTCTCCCCAGGGCAGGACTGGGCAGGGTTTTCCCTGCTCGTGTACGGTCACCTGTGGCATTTGGAGTCCCCCTCTAAGAGCACTGAAGCTCTTGGGGCAGCTGGCACCTTATTCTAGGGGTCTCTCTTCTCTGTCGAGCACAGATCTGGGGCCCTGGGGGGAGGCAAGTGAGGCCTCAGGGACCCCCTCCACCTGGCATCGGGCACTGGGAGCCCCTGTGAGGGACCACCAGCCTTACCCAGTCCCCATCGATAGGCCCACTGGGCTCAGTGTGGTGTGAGGCACGCTCCCAGGATGCGAGCACCGTGTCCTGAGAACACCTGCCCTCCCCCTTGGTTGGGAACATGGCATCCTGTACCCTGTGGGGGAGCATCTGGCAGGTGCAGGAGGAACAGGCCAGTTCTTAGCCAAAGAGCCGAGGCTCCAAGTCCTGCCCGTTGCCATCGGTTCCCCTGCATCCATTTACCCAGCACCTCCTCTGCCTGTCCACCAGGCCGGGCTTAGCCCAGGACAAACCTGCCCGCTCAAGTCAAAGTCACCTCCACCCCGCTATCACATTTTCTGTTTCTCATTCTTGTGGCCCTTCCCACGCTCTGGAATCCTCTGGTCCACCTGTCTGGTCCACGTGTCCACTGTCGTCTGTCTCCACTCTGGGATGTCGGTTTGGCAAAGACGGGGACCCACTGGCAGGGTCGCTGCCTGCCTATCAGGCTCAGTGCCTGCAGCCTGGCAGGGCTCAGGCCGCCCTTGTGAAGGGGGCAGGGGAGCGAGTGGGTGACCCAGGCTCCCGGCTCTGGGGGGGTGCTGGGGACAGGGGATGAATAACACACAGTCACAAAGCCTTAAAGGGCTTGGATAACAGACAGC